CGTGCTGTGGGCGTGGAAATGAGCGTACGGCGCGTAAATTTTGGAAAGTTTTGGAATATTCAAAATGACCTGAAACGTGCTTTAAATTATCTGAAAAGTGATATTAACAATTTTAAAATGTTAACGAACAAGTACAAATACCTTATACGACGTGCCTGACGGCGGTAATGACATCAAAATAAAAAATAAAGGGACACGTCCGAAAGAGAATTGATTTAGCTATAACATACTCACATGTGGGAGACAATCAATAAAGATAAGCGAGTACGTTCAAAGGAGTATATAAAGTAATAACGAAATAAATAAAAATTCAATTTTTTCTTAATTCAAATGGTAATATGATGACGTCACAATGTCCGATCAGCCAATATGATCTATAAAATCGTATCTACAACTCATGTGCTTTCAGAATATGTAATAAAAATTGGGGGTCACCTTTCATCCTATGGAGCTATAAGTGATTAAAAATATTCATGGTTTTATGCATACGTAAATGTTGACACACGCGTACGCGCACGTTAAGTCCGAGTATAGACTTCTCGGAAGAAGAACGAAGACGACGACTAGGGCTGACAAATAGAAATAAGCTCTCAGAGATACGACGGAGCTAAATCATGTAAACATTTAAAGGTAATGAGTAGAACTTTGAATCGTCAGAAACGGGAAGCTAATAGGGTTGTTTGAAAGTGGTGAATGGTCAGCCTGCTTCATTGGTGAGAGCAAGATGCATCATTGTGAAAGTTAGACTTGCCACAAGTCTCTAATTATTGATTTTTCGTAGTATTAGCATATTTCGGAAAGCGCCACCAGCGTCAGTTTACAGTATGTCGAGAAGCTTTTTTGATGCGAATTAGAATCCAAGAAAAAGTATACTATGAAACGCCAAGCAAATAGGTAATATGGAACGCCATTGGTGCCAAAATCGATTTTCCAGCTTTTTAACTGATTAAGACAAAGTTTAGGACTGGAACCCAGTCTATGAGAAAGTCAACGAAATAAATGTTACGATAAGTTGCACTATAAGGAAATACTCGTCACAGTAAAAGAAAAATCATCTATCAATCGACGCATGGTCAGGTTTGAGTCACATCATTAGGAAGATGTTCGCTGATACATGTCAAGAAACCTTCCTCGCAAAGCTGTGTCATCAGAGATCTGTATTTTGTTTTGGTCCTGTTTATAATATATATCTTTCAAAGTTCTATGATTTTTTAAAACAATTTTTCTTCCAGTCAGTAAATTTCTGTTTTAGTTAAATATTTATACTTTCTGTCTCATCAATGGTCATTATCTTAATTTGCATGTTTTAATGTTAGATTACTATAATTTTAAATGTTAGATTACTATATTTTGTTGATAGTATACTGTTTTGGATTATTTTAAATTTTATATCTACCTATCTATCTATATATTTACACGAAAAATAAACAAGACTGTCCTCTTCTCTCACAGTTTTTATTCAAGCAGTCTGCTATAGTTTACCACATGAGAAAAAAAACCAACACTATCTCGATCTCTTTAGATCGTGATGTTGTTCCAACGAAACCAATAAATTAAAATAATGTATTAAAAATAAAAATAATAAAGAACGATAACAACTGGAAACCGAATCAAATAAAATTTAGGTTGGAATTGTGTTTATTTACAAACGCGGATGAAATCCGGATTCGGTATTCCTACCATGAACAAGGAAATGATCCAAATTTGTAATTGGATAATGCGAGAGTTTCAAAACCAACAATGAAACTCTTGTAAAGGACGCCTTACACAACTTTTCTCAATTCCAACATACACCTTTTATTCGATTCAATTTCACGTTGAATTTCCATTTTTATATTAAAATAAGTTTCGGTATAAATATTTATTACTACACGTTTCCCCTCACGAGTACTTGTATACATACATATAACAAAGTGGATGCACTGTCCCAAATGGTTTGTTGAGATCTGATGTTTCATATAAACATCAGAAAAATCCCTTTCAACAATTAGATTTACAAAAAATGATTGCCGTACATATTTTCAAAACAGCTGAACGTGCTGTGTATTGATATGGAGAAGATATATTAACTACGTATACGACAGGATAAGGATGGGATGTGTAACATTTCCCGGCCGCAGATATCAACCCATAATTCAACAATGTATCCACTTCAACATTCCTTCACTTACATTCTTAAGCCAGTTTCTCACCAAACTGACATGTATTTAAATTTTAACAACAGACTGTAAACGTCATTTAATTTTTATAAGCGACTGTATATACAAGTGAACACAAGGTCTTTGTACACTGTACTGTATACATTCTGAATAATCATTAATATATTTGTGAGCGTGGGTACCTTCAAACTATCAATAAATACAAGAGCAATATGCAATTTAATATGAATATTCATTATCGTCCAATACACAATTATGAATATCCCTCATCAACATATGATATCAATACGACGCATGTGCAATAAATATTCATAAATCCATTCAATTTTAACATGGTACAATTTTACAGTCAATAGCAGAATGCTTATTTATCATCAATATTAATTAACTTCATGAATATTAATTAACTTCATGAATATATATTAACACAATTAATATCGAATAACTTCATGAATATTCATCACCATCCTTAATATAAATTACAATGAATATTAATTAAAATAGTGAATATTCCGTTATTTACTTTTTTTCTGTTCTATTCCGCCATTGTCGTTTTTTGAGGTAATTTCTTGTAATATTTATAAACAAATATCATTTGAGAAAATCACAAAATCGGTTTAATCAGAAGAGAGGCAAAGAAAAATAGCAACATTCTTTAGACATTATATACGTTTAAAAAAACGACGGACCACTTATCTCTAACATCTATCACATTTTGACGCACTTTACATTATGAAATTCTTCAAAGGTTTGCTGTATTTTCAAATTCTCGTAGAGAACTTTTACGATGATTAAAGACAATAACAGACGAAGAAAGACGGCTGAACATGGATTTCAAGACCATGTACTAACATTTACCTATACATATATTTCTCCCCAAAGTCTATTTACACTAAAACATACAGTAGGATAAAACCTTTGACATTAACTAGATAATGCGCATGGGATTTTCTTTTTGTTGCCCCTATTTACCAAGAAGACTGGCAAGGAAAAGACAAAGGTTAAAATGTTAAACAAAATGTACTGGGAATTACCGAACAAGCACACTTTATGCTTTTATGAACTTCATATTCCTTTTGAATACTATAATATTAGTAATAATAGTATTTAGGTTGATGAATTGCCATTTTTTCACAGATTTTCTTTTTCTAAGCACCTCCTAATGATCCTCCAAATTATTTGAATATTAAAAACGATGAAGTGAAATAAAAAGTAATTTGAAATCCATCCATTATCCACTAAATTGTAGTTGAATGCAAATAGATACCGAATGATCGACAACTTTAGGCACCTTAAGAATCAACCCAAGTGTTATTGATTTCAACACTGTTGCCAACATTTAAAATAGTGACTAGTGACTTTTGAATAATTGCAGAAAATTTAATATATATTATTTTTTTAAATAGAAAAAGGTATCAACAATCAAGGCATCGACTGAAAAAACAAACAAACCCCAATAAAAAATAGTAAATAGATAATAATAGGACTTGAAAACAACAGTACCTATGTATATTGCAAGATACTGGCTAAATTTTTCCAGAATATTACTGTAGGCAGAAAACAACATAAAAAATGAATAGAAAAGGATAAAAGGGATAATGTAATTATAGGATACTATACACTTTATTGTGTAATGACACATTATGTTGTACACTATAAATAGGCCTATGTATATACATAATACTTACAGTGTACATCAAGTTATATGTTAAAACACTTACCCACTGCAGAGTTCTGCAAAAATTTTGTTTTGTAAGAATATGTTAGAATGCAAATTGTTTGGCAATATTTCCTAAACTCTAGTTTCGAAAAATTTGATGAAAATATCTTGGCACTATGATATAACATTATTTCACCAATAAAATGTAGATTTTTACTTCAAAAATTTAAATACCATACCATCAGTACAAATTTTGAGAAAAGGTCTAATTATTCAGTCAAACAATATATTACCTGTTATGCAAGGTTAAAGAGAGAATGTTTGTTAAATATCAGAATATTTCAGGCTGTTACAAATGAAAAATGGATGGAATAAAGCCAAGGTAACGTTTCTGACAATTGACTAAAAATAGCTTAACCCTAATATTTTTAGCTGGATTAGTCTATACCAGACTTGTGTAGAGTTTATGAATGATTGCGTAGAATTCAACACAAGCTGTAGAGACACCAGAAACATTTCAGACAACAACAAGATTTTAAGAGCAATTTTCTTCACCTTTCATGAATTATCTAAACTACAAGGTTTATCCCAGTGACTCATATGATTGGGACAGCAACAGACCCAGTAGGTCCAAGGTAGCACGCGACCACAGTGCAAGGGATATTACAAGAAGTTTAGCCACGTAACATCATATTTCTGAAGCTACGATAATCGACGAAGCATCAAAACAAGGACGGCAAATGTATCACAAATTGGGACGGTCGGTAGTATGCTTCAGTCTTGAAAACAATGGTCAATTTGAGTGGAGGTCCATATGTGACTGTGACACCGCATCAGCAGGGTTCATAAGGGCAGGCGGACTGTGTGCAGATGATAAGCTCATACCATGATTGGGGGATGGGTGAGCCATCATCATGGCGTGATGGGCATGGCTCGGTAGGAGCATCGCCTGCGAATGGACAGATGGATGGAACTGGGAGATCTGTGGGTGGGCATAGGTAGAGCCTCCAGATGACAAACTCATGTTCATACTGGACATTGATGATGTCATAATATCAGCACCTGTGAAAAATGAAAAGAAAAAAAATGATGAACATCTACGAAACACATGTTTAAACTCAATTTTTAAACCTACCTATAACCTACTCATTTAATTACGACCATTCTCACTGTATAATTGTAAGAATTAGTAGTAATAAACAGATGTTAGTTTGCCGAACAAGGTAAATTTAATCAGTAAGCAAAATTCTGGCTGTACTAGGCGAATGAACATAGGACACATGGAGAATGTCTGGTTATCGGACCTTAGGGGTCACCTGGTATGAACATGTAGAGGGTCCTAGACTATTATGTATTATAATTATAGTCCAAATATGTAATGGTCTTACAATATTAATTTTACATAAAATAAATAGCAACTTTTCTTAGGTCAAAATGTGCATTTATCACAAACAATTTGGAGCCTCCCCCCTACTCCTGGAAGAGCATTCCAAACCATGCGGCTTAGCATCAGAATAAGTTCAGTAAAAATCATCTACGCCCTATCACACCATTTATGCTTTTGAGTAACAAGAGACCAATGTAGATAAAGTAACCAGTGTTGGTCTCAAAGTCAAATCTTTTAAATTAAAAACTTGAAGCCTTGCTGCTATATCTTTTACTACTCAATAAAACTTGAAGCCTTGCTGCTATATCTTTTACTACTCAATTATGATACCAAAATATTAATGATTTCATTCACGAGGGGTTAATGAAACACAAATCATATGATCTGTACGGAAACTGAACTTGAAATTGCTAAATCAACCAATTTTTTAAGAATAATACATCATAGGCAAAACTGATCATATTCTAATTAATATATTTTAGTGTTAACTCTCTTTTTGTATTCAGTATATACCTTTATTATCACCATCTTTCTCTGAAATTGTGTCTGAATATTATGAAATAATCTTTATTCATAAGTTTAAATTTGTAATTAATACTGAAGACACAGATTTTACTAAAGTACAGTTAGTTTTAATTTTGGTGCAAAACTATGCAACTAAACAAGTCTACACATTGCCTTGGGCCACATTTGATATAAACAAAAACAAGAATAGTCAACGATAACCACTTTACATGTATAAACATTGACTACATTATTATGCACTTAAACTAATACTCATAGCAAATCTTCTAAACTACATCTATTTACTAGCGATGCATCAGTACAGGGGGCTGTTTGAATGAAGTCCCTGTGTATGATGAGCAATGTTGTATATGGATGGAAATTGAAATATACAATGTTAATTTCAATAAATAATGATCACTGTGATGTAAAGTGGTAAATCTAATTGCTGAGTACTTATGTTATTTGGTATTCATAATTTAATGTTCCACTCAAAAATCCTTTGATGTGACTAACTACACCTCAGGCAATTCTCATTGTGATAATTGGCAGAAGTGGAAGTAATTTAGATTATAAGAGCATGTTTGTACAAAGTATATTAAGTTGTACAAGGTGTTCATACATATTTTGCCACTGGTGTGAGATGATGTTTTTAAATGTATAGATTTGTGTGAGATCATGTTATGTTTGTACCCATCTTTATAAAAAGTTTATCAAATGTCTTCATGCATATTTATCCAGTTGTGTGAGATAATGTCTGCAAGTTCATCAAATATGTTTGAATGAGTATCAAGTTGTGAGATGATGATATGTTTGTACCCATCTTTATCAAAAGTTTATTAGGCTGTACAAGGTGTTCATGCATATTTTTCCACTTGCGTGAGATAATGCTTTTAAATTTATAAATTTGTGTGAGTTCATGTTATGTTTGTACCCATCTTTATAAAAAAGTTTATGAAAAGGTGTTGTGTGGGATGATGGTTGCAAGTTTATCAAATATGTCTGAAAGAGTATCAAGTTGTGAGGTGATGTTATGTTTGTACCAATCTTTATAAAAAGTTTATTAAAGGTGTTCATGCATATTTTTTTTTCACTTGTGTGAGATGATGCTTTTAAATTTATAGATTTGTGTGAGATAATGCCATGTTTGTACCCATCTTTATAAAACGTTTATTAAGATGTACAAGTTTTTTTTCATGCATATTTTCCAGATGTGAGATGATGTTTGCAAGTTTATCAAATATTGTTTGAAAGAGTATCAAGTTGTAAGATATTTTTTAATTTATAAATTTCTAATTTATATGTTTGTACCTATCTTTATAAAAAGTTTAAGTTCAGTTTTATGTTCATGCATATTTATCAAAAGACGATGTCTGCAAGTTTATAAAATTATGTGAGAATATGTTAAAATTTATAAATTTGTGAGATGATGTTATGTTTGTTGATTGTGTTTCATTATCATAATTTTTTCTGTAAAATTAAATCCTCAATTCAGCTTTTGGCTGCTTATGGATTAAGTTTGTAAATTTTATATGTATTATTGCATAAAAATACCAAGATATATATATTTCAATTTTGTCAAGATGATGTTTTTAATTTTATCACATTTTGTGAGACCATATATCTTTTTTCATTGAGCCACAAACATTTATCAAGTTGTGTACAATAATATCCGTTTGTTGGTTGAACCACTTTCCCGCAAAAGGAGTCAAAATTTGCAAGATGTTTTTAAGTTCACCACATTGTGTGAAAGGATACCCACTTCCATATATTATATTCAAGTATTGCAAAATGACTTTTTTTTTATTTGTGAGGTTTATCAATGTGTAAGTTATATTTTTTGTTAGTTTAACCACTTTCACCTCTAAACTTGACTGTTTTATCAAGTTTTGTTGAGATGATGTTTGTTAGTTGACTCACTCCATCTACAAGAATCAAGATCATCATGTTTGACTAAATTCAATATAAAAAACTCAATTTTTGTGAGAAGATATTTTTAAGCATATCAAATTTTTTTAGATGATATTTGTCAGTTGAAGCACTTCCATCTACAAGAATGAAACTCATCATGTTCAACTCACTTCAGCATAAAATATTCAAGTTTAGAGAGATGATATTTTTAAGTTTATCAATTTTTTTTTAAAATTATTTGTTGGTTGATCGCTTCATCAACAAGAATCATGCTCATCATGTTTGACTCACTTCAATATAAAATACTCAAGTTTTGTGAGATGATATTTTTAAGTTTATCAAGTTTTATTTTAGATGATGTTTGTTGGTTGAGTCACTTCCATCTACAAGAATCAAGTTCATCATATTCGACTCACTTCGATATAAAATATTCAAGTTTAGTGAGATGATATTTTTAATTTCATTAATTTCTTTAAAAATTATGTTTGCTGGTTCCGTCTACCAGAATCAAGCTCATCATGTTCGACTCGCATCAATATAAAATTTAGTAATTTATAAAGTTTAGTGAGACGATATTTTTTAGTTTATCAATTTAAAAAAAAATTATGTATGTTGGTTGAGTCGGTTCCATCTACAAGAATCAAGCTCATCAACTTTGACTCACGTCAATATATAGATTTTGTGAGATGATGTTTTTGTTTTCCAGAGTGACATACAATATGCATGTTAGCCAAGTTGTATGTGATGATGCATTTATGAAGTTGCTCAAGAAATGTAAACTTAACATGCAAGATATTGTTTTGATCTAGTTGGAGATGAGTCCATCTACAATATGTAAATTTACTGTCCAAGATGATGTTAGTTGGTTGGCGGAGGCCCGTCCAAATAAGAAGAGTGTAAAAAACGTAACAGCAACCTGTTTAGTACAGGTGAGGGTGCCAGTCATTACCCGGTGGGCGCAAGTGCATCGGTGGTTGCTGGCTATCCATCATGAAGCTGCCGATTGGTTGGTTATCAGAACCATAACCTGGGCCACCTCCGAGCCCGCCAGGCACTGCAAGAACAAAAGACAAGAAGGGAAATGCAATTATATTTAACTGTCTTGACAAAACCCTTGACAGAAATTCCAAATATTTAATGCATGCATGTATCAAGGATCATAGATATCTAAACCAGTTTGTATTTTGAAGAAGAGAATCTTTAAATAACCATTCAGAAGACAGATGTTGCAGATCATTCAAATTTATGTTACCAACAATGCATATCTAGGGCGGATGCAGAGGGAGTGCAGACGGCACGGTCGCACCCCCCTAAATTGTATCAAGAAAAATAATTGTTGTATTGTATTGTTGTAAGGTATGAGAGTGCAATTTCCGGGTAGGCGCGGATCCAGATCTCTTCGCACCGTTCGCCAATATAAAATGATAGCAGTGCCTGGTGGTCTGGCGAATTCCAACACTTTCTGTCAGAAATTCCCCCTACCTAAACCAAAGACAAAATATATAGACAAAATAAACTTTTTGCATGGTCTAAGTATTAATCAAATTGGGACTGTAATTAAGTCGGCTGTGCGATAACGTACGGTACACTGTTGAGTTCTTATATTATTATTACAGTATTATGATTTATGTCACAATGTATGGTTAATACAAAATCAATCACAGGGACGACAGGCTGTACATGTGCGTTGATTCTTATAAGCTTATTGAAAGGTATATACAATTTTATTATATTTTGTTATTCCAAAATTACACCAAAGCGAAAACATATTATTTTAATTATTACTTTTTGATAATTGAATTATTATTTCATTATTTTAACGAATGCTATTCGCTAAAAAAAAACAAGTCTTTAATGGAGTTGGTAGCCTAATTGTAGACCTAGACCTTAAAACTTACGAACACACTTTGATACAGTACATCTAAAAAGAAAGTCAAAAATGACCACCGAGCACTGAGAGGCTGAAAATGAACACGGAATCTGAAGAAGAGCAACGACGTGAATGGTATGTAAGTTTCAAATCATACAGCGTTGGAAGTGGAAAAAAAATTATACTGAGAAATTGAGAAGATATCTAATAAGCATATAATACTGCATTAATTGGCAAAAAAAAAAAGGTAAAGTTTCCAGTAGGTGGGGTGTTATGAAGAGTGTGTATAATGCACCCAACCAAATTTGATAAGGTCCACATTTCCATGACAGTTGAGAATGTAGTGAATATAAATTTATGATTTTCTGTGATTTAAAAATAAAATCTTAAATGTTTACATTTTAACCAGTAGGCCTAATCTATTCAGTCTGTCGTGATTCGGAAAAACACAATTTATTTAATTTTCAAATTTTGGCTTAGGGGCACACTTTGGATGTAATCTATCATGGAACGTGATCATATATTCCAAATAATTTTTCGAAATATAAAATTATTATGAGAGTTACGCATTATATCCGACCGTCCACCTACTAACCATTGAAATGTTGGCAATCAACCAATCACAGAAGACATTTATGCATATTTAATTACTTTCCCAGCTGGTGGCGGTACAATAAAAATGCATTATTATTTTTCCTGAAGTTACAATTAAAAGTTTAGATCCACATTATTAACAAGATTATTAAGTTAATCTTTCCACATCGGCACGTGCACTGAAAATGTATTTTTAAAATTTATTTATTTAAAAAAAATTTGATTTAACATATGTATAATGATTTTGATAAACAATCATAATTCTCTGTACTATCTATTAAACATTTAAAGAATGGACAAATTAGACTAATATTTTTAAAGAAGACCATTCAACAAACAACATAAAAAAATTCCCACGTTGGTGCATTCATAAATTTCCTGAAAATGGATACAAAGAGATTTAGGCCTAAGGAAATATAAATGTATATGGGTCTGAACTTTGTAGGTGACAAAGTGTTCTTCATTTATGTTGTGGTCATATTAGAATATAATATCATTAAAGACCATTCAACAAACAACATAAAATATGTATCAAACTTTTAGGTTAAAGTTTCCACTTCCAAGCATGCATATAACATAATTTTTTTCAGATAATAATAATAATGATATCTTCCTGACAGTCGAGAATGTACTGATTATATAAATTGTGGATGATTACTGTTGTCCGATTATGTGCATTGAAAATGTGACGACAAACTTTGGATACGGCCTCGGTTGACACTCATATTAAAGGGTCTGTTAATTAACCTTGCACAGGAGCCTGTCATCACCTGCAACGATGCCTCCTCCTCCTCATCATCATCACATCATCATCATCTTCATCATCGCAATTATTAATTGTCCATGGTAAAATGGGGGAAAACTATGAATTCAGTGTGTATTCATTCATCTATAGAAGTCTTGTAATGCACGTAAGTGCATTCCTCAGCATCTAAAAAACAAAACTTTTCAAAGCTAGGAGAGCCCCAAGACTATCGCAAACCAACCTGCCCCACGTCTAAAATAGTCTTCTAGCGACAGAACAAGCAAACGTTCTCTTCTGATGACCCCACCCACTCACAGACCCCCACATGTGCAATAGTCAGGTTAAAGCTCGGTTTCCATAGAATCGCTCGCCTACATTTGTGGGGAAGGTTGAACATGGTTCAACTTTTCCGACTGCACTGCAGACGCAGACGAATCAGGGTGCATTGTTGGCTAACCTGTGCAATTGGAAAGGCACCCTGATTCGTCTGTGAACCACAACTGTCGCCGATAGGGTGAGCGATTCTGTGGAAACCGAGCTAAAACTCTGGCAATGAGGTAGATGCTCACACACCCCCTACCGCCAAATTCTGCATCCGCCCCAGCATATCTTACATGTAAACCGTTGAACCTCTCTGTGTGACCACCTCTTGTAGGCCACCACCTATTTAAGTGATCAGTTACTAAAAGCCTATATACAGTTTAACCTTTTTTGTTCAACCACCTCTCATACCATTTGCTCTATGCTCATACCACTTACCAAAAGCCTGATTTGTTTCCAATCCAATCTAAACTTTGATGTATAAAGCACATCATACAAAGTCGCAATGCACCAATTTGAGGGAGTGCTCAGAAAAAAGTAACAAAGGAAGAAAAAAATATTCCTATTCTAAGATTGCATTTGATGCCTCTAGTATGCACCAAACTTTCATAAGAGACCGTGACCACTTTTGGACTTAATTATATTTATCTGTGGTATTTTACCTCTGGTAAGCAATCGTACCAATCAAGAGACCCGACATCACATGGAGTTTTGGCCTTTGTGGTGTGTACTTTTGTAGCGATTCGTAAGCAACCTATTTCACCTGGACTCAAAGTTGGTCGCTTTACAAAAGGTTCAACTGTATAACTGATAATTTCAATTTTTACCTGCATTTATAGCGAAAGTTTTAAACTAACTGATGGCATTCTGTTAGCCTACTTACCTTTTACTGATTAAAAAAGTTTCACTGGAATGTTTAAGAGCTTCTTCCAAATTTAACAACAGACAATTAACAATATGGGACTTGTCATGCCAAAACAACCATCAATGACCAAACCAATAAAACTGACTTTTAAATATATTTATATTATAAGCTTAAAATGATGGTCATTTTACTGAAATTGACTTACTATAGTCAAAGGTAACCACATGCTTATTAAAGTACTCAGTTTACAATTAGCTACATTACGCTGGTTTTAAGATGCAAGCCTCATATTATGTGACTATTAACATATATACACAATACATAATTGTTTACATTTTTATAAGAATATAATATAATTATTTATAGTGCTATAGTTTAGTTTATCCTACGATAATTACCACAAAATTAATTAAATATTTAAATTTGCAAGTAACTTACCTGAAATTCACAGATAGACAGAAAGTATTATTCTGTACAAAAATTCTTTGTAAGAAAGTATAGGTTTATAAATATGCATTGTATTGTAAACACAAAATCAAAAATGCTTATTAAAATAGATTATTTCTTGAATTTGTTAAAGTTGAAACAGTTGAAGCCCAGAAGAGGTAAATCAGTCAGTTTTCTCTCTGTAGCAGTACCATGCATCTGGAAGGAGGGGGAGGGGGGACATAAAAGCAATAGAGGAAACAAAGGTAGCAATATGTGCAAGAAACACTTTGTTCAAAAGAAGTGGATGATTAGAAAAGCATGCAAATCAAATCGCTGTCATGCCATCAGCAAACCTCCATGCGCAAGTACTGTGATGCTTCAATCATTGTAACCAAAGCAGAAAACCTAACAAGACCAGAAAAACAACTTAGGAATTTGCTCATAAGTTACTTAGAAGCTACATAAGCAAGATTCAAATGAATTCTAGAGAAATCATGGAATGGCGCTAGGGTAATGTTTAATAGTAAAATTCATGAAACCGTTTTCTTTCTTAATTTTGAAAATGGATATTGACACTAAATATATTTATTAATGTAGAAAGTAATGATCCGGTGTGCATAGGGGGCCCGACAGGGGGCTGAGACACAGCTGCATTGTAAAATACTGTACTTTTTAGTCTAAATTGAGAGATAGTTTATCCTGTAGTAGTAATCACGGAAATGCAACGAGAAGGACATTGTGTATAACTGATGTATATATTCTTGGTTGTTAGTATTGTCGAACAGAGTTACTGACTAAATAACATGATTTATGCAAAATATTTTAACTGATCTTGCTGTCAAGAATATTTTAAAAATTCCCTTCGGATTGGTGATTTTACTTCTGATGTTAAAATATATTTTCCAAATATCTTTAGGAGGTGATGCAGCTTATTTTTAATTAAACGTACATCAAGCATTTCCTGGAAATCATCCAGAGTTAGGAGATAGAATATTTTACTTTTTTGCAATGCAAGGACAACATGTTAAAATTAAGTGTTATTTGAGTAAAAGACGTTTGATTTTTGTTGATCTATTGCTAAAAAAGGGACGACAGAAATGTGTCATCTATGGGGAATAAAAGAGAGTTGAGGTAGGCCATGTGGACGAAGGAAGGAGATGTACAGAGGACAATCAAGATAATATCAAAGTGAAGCGTCATTGCTCTCGGGAATAAGATACAAGGTTTGTTGGATTTCTAGCTTCAGACACACGTTTGGGGATAGCGACGGAAGATGCTATGCTATAAGGATCGAACGAATGTGACAGAATCGCCTGTAACTAGGCTGCCAAACGGATCGAGTACATGTATGTTTGTCAAACACAATTAAGAGATCCGAAACTAGAAATACACCCGGTTCATACTGAGGAGTCTTTTTTTACATTAATGATTTCTCATGATACCGCTTCTTGATTGCCAATCTGAAAAGAGTTTTCCCATGTGAAGTGACAACTTTCAGTCTGTATGTCGGGTTCAAGAAAAAAAGAGACCCTATCTGGAGCCGGGACATTCAATAGGGGCATAAACAATGCGTCAGGGGACTAGGTCGCCATCAAAAATTAACTAGTGTCACTATTAATTGAGGGGTATTACTGTAATCAGTAAATAGGCTGAGTCGCATCCAGTGGATACTATATGTAACAGTGTGGTTGACTTTATGATCAATCTCAACTGAATCGAAGCCAAGCCTATTATACGTATAATCAGATTATCTAATTCAGAAACGAAATTGTGAGGGGGAAACATGCAAAAGTTTCATAGAATTTGCATGGGTAGGGGGAAAAACTTACAAAAAAAAAAAACATTTCGGAATATCTGCACCAATCATCATGCTTTTGGTTTAAAAGGGGAAGGGGTAGCAAGGGGTAAGCTTTCCAGAATTGCGCAATGACGTGGGGGGTACAGACATACCAGGGGAGGGTCCTGGCGACTGACTGGACGATGATTTACGTCTCCTGGACTTGAAAACAGTTACAACAGGTGATTTACCTGCTCGGTTCGACTGGTCAATCATGGGCTGGACTATCCGACGACGGGCATTGATAAACCTGAAAAAAAAATGTATACATATAATTATATAGAAATTATATAAGAAGTGTTAATCTCTAAAATAGTTTTTATATTTCTGTCTGTCATGAAGTTAAAAAAAATGGAACATTTCAATTACATATTTGTATTAAATAATGTCTATATTTATGTAAAATATCTGCAAATCAGCAAAAAAAAAAATTAAAAATTCTGGTTCGAAGTTAATAACTTATTTGATCCCTTTTAAACAGCTATTTTAGTAAACAAATTTTAATTGAATTTTTGAGGTCTTTTCAAATGTTTTGCAGACAGTTCTTTAAAAAAAAAAGATATGTCCAGGAAATATTGCTTTCAACACTGTTATATGCTATTCATCTGTTTAACATCAACACTGTATTTTCGGTAGCTTAGGGGGTATTTCCTCTACTGCCATCTTAATTTCCATAAAGTGAGAACGTGAACACGGTTTTGTTTCTTTCAATCGTTGTAAATTAATAGGAAATAACAAAATAAAAAGCAATGAAAATGTAATTGCTAGGGTTGATACATTCTGTAAAATGGAATAGAGTTTGACAAGAACACAAACCTGATGTTGTTGAGTTCACTTTCAAATTTTCCAACAGTTTGAACTGAATTATTATTTTCCAAATTTATCGGTATTTTTAGAAGATTGTACCAAATATCTCCCAGTCCTTTCCTGAAATAATACCTCTTTAGCCTGTTTACTACAGCCCAGGCCTACGGTAATATTGGCCAAAATAATATTAAAAACTTTGCGTAAATCTTTGGTGTTGGGAAAAGTAACATTAAAGTAACAGTCATAGCTAATAGTGGAAATATCCCTTGAAAAATATAATAAATAATAATAATAGTAATAATAATAATAATAACAAAAATAATAATATCTATGGTACAGGCCCCCATGGTTGTTACACAGAATAGAATTTTTATCTTTTTTTTTTTAATAATTATTCTCTGATCACAAAATCCTCATTATTTATAATCATTCAGATACAATAACTACTTATTTTATTTATTATAATAAGTAAAGTGTTCCACAAAAATTAATTACTTTTATCATTTCTTTTTTATAACATGAAATATTATGTCATTATCAAAATACCAATTTAGTGAATTTATACAGGAAAAATAAATATAAACGATGATAAAAAAATAATAAATGTGTTAAATCATATTTTGACAAGTGTGGGAATTTGAACCAAAGTACATTGCATAAAATATGTAATGTTAACAAAAAATACGCCGCATGTACATAGTAATATCGCTTTGTTTTTAACTGGAGGCACAGAACCTTGGCATATTTTTGATCACATGCAACAAAATCCAGTTACCAGTTATTCTGTGACCACCAATAACCTCACTGCTTATTTCCCAGCAATTGACCAATCAGACTGCATCTGTGTTGGCTCTGGGCATGTGCAGAAGAATTTATGTAATAGTTCCAGCTGTGGTGAAGTTGTAAAACAGGGCCAGTGGCTAGTGGTCTTCAATTGAAAAACCTATTCTTAATTAGATCAAGAAAGCCAATCTGAGCCAAGGCCTTTGGCTGTCCAGTTGACTGCATTGTAAATTGATACTTAGCTTTGTTGCCAATCTCTTGGGTTTTAGCCCTCACTTTTAAACTGTGTGAAGAAATCACTTCAAAATATGCCAACTATTCCACAATAATATTTATTTCCATTAGCTTTACCACTAGACTAGAAGTGTTTTCGAATCCAGCTATATCTGGTGACAATTTCTCCTTACTGGTCACTTAAATATCATCTTGATATTTTTAGATAGTAGCGCATTAACTGGCATCTGTGGTGGTGTAGGATTGGAGATGTACAAATCACCAGGGGCATTTCCCTTTAACAAACAGTAATTTAGCCCTGATGGAGTAAATTACCAGCACATGTTACTTTGTAGTTTGGTGTAGTGTCTAGTGTGGCTCAGCTAATGTACTTTTGAAACCAGATCTGGTATGGTCTGGTGGGTGGTGAGACCCCTGTTCTGATGCACCATTCTGGCAGGCAGTTATCCTGAATGATTAATGAGTAGGCATGCCTCTCAGGCGCCATGCTTCCCAAACTATGCTAATGACTTCGGCAGCCCCCTGAGTCAGACCAGCTGTGTACTTGCTATTAACCCTGTTCCCATTGAGGTCTGACGCCTTGCCTCAAGTCTGTGGCAATGCAAAGTCCCTCCCATTTAATTAGGCAGCCTGGTACTGATCAAAGGGCACAGAGGACAAAGCATAATGATTTTATAAACAACAATACCACATTGATGCATTGATAACATCAGTAAGAAATTAACATTATTTTGTAATAAAATATACAGTAGGCACATATATTACAAAACAATTGAATTAACTAAAGAAATTAAGAATAATTTGATAATTTGAACAAGTGAAAGCTTCATAAAATACAATATATATATTTTTTTTAAATATTTGTTTGCACCTTATGTGGCTTGGCAATAGGTGTGGTGTAAGTTCCTGTATTATTATTGAATTATGCAAAAAATTATCAATAAAAAATAAAAATGAACAATAAGTTGATTGGTAGAAATAAGAATGCCAACATGTAATTATAAACAACATGACGAAACACAGAAAAAAAAACCTAAATTTAATAGTATTGATACTTCAGAAGTCAATAATTAGTTGAAATGATTTATATACTATACTAATATACAGTAAAGACAACAATATTAAATTTGAAAAACATAATTAAATAATTGAATTACTTTTATTATGTTGTTATGTTTTAATTGACAATACGTATAAAACAGAAAACAGATTTTCTAACCAATTAACAGCACGCAAGTTCCTATATTCATTGATTCCTCTTGAATTTGCTTTAAATAATTAAAGATGTTTCTGTATATTAGCAAACTAAATTATGTTATTTTATTTAGTTTTAACTTGTTTAGAAATATGTATGTATAGTTTAAAGATATTTTTTATCCACAGCATATCTTCACTTCAATTTATTGATAAATGCAAAATAACTTTCAAAAATTTGAATCAGAGGAACAGATTGTTAAAACCATAATAGTGAAAGCTTTTGTCAATGAGGAGATTTACATTCCAGAGACGACTATTCGTTAAAAAAAAAAAAAAAACAGAAAAATTCAGGAACATAGGGGGTCCTACACCAGCAACATAATTGCTGTGATGTCATAGATCATAGGGTTTAAATTGAATTAACTAATTTGCGGAGGAAATACCACTAAAGGAGGGTAATCCACTGATAGCTCCTACCTCAAACTCAATCAAAGGTCAAATAACCAGTCATCAATAAAAAAGGATGTTTCATCAGATGAAGACTTTTCTCCCTCTCTGTCCTAATAGAACCATCACTGTCAACTTACTAATTGATTATCAATCCTTATTTAATTAATTAACTTAAAACATGTAGGCCTTCATGTCAAAAATCATTTTGATGCATTTCAAATTTCATTTGGTATAGTAGC